AAAGGGCCAAAAATGCAATTTTAAGCTTATTGGGCCAAAACTTTTGGGCCTCACGGCCTTTGGGCCCAATTTGCGAAAAAAATAAAGTTTTGAGGTTTAAAAATGTAATTTGGCCAAAGTTTGAGTCATAAATGTAAACAAACCAAATTTAAGGGTGAAAATAACATTTATTTTTAAATTGGACCAAAAATGTAAAATTTTCCAAAATTGGGCCAAAAGTGTAAATTTTTACAACCAAGGGCTGAAAATGTACTTTTCTGCAAAACAGGGTTCTAAATGTGAAAATATAACCTTTTGGGCTTAATCTGTGAAATTCCAAACATTTGGGACAAAATTTCAAATTTTTATAAATTATGGACTAAAGTGTCATTTTTACAAAACTTTGGGCCTTAATTAAAAATTGGAGGTTTATTGGCCAAAAATGTCGTTTTTACAAAAGAAAGCTTCTTATCATCCATCTAGTAAACCTTGAGCTAAAACAAACAACGGAACAAAACAAACGAACGAAATACGTCGATAACTATTTATTGGGCCTAATATTCACATTATTTGTCCATTGGGCCCTAAGGACCCAATTAAGTGTATATTGAGCCGAATGTTTTCCATGACATGTTTATTGGGTCTTGCGACCCACTTACATGTTAATTCGGGCCTAAGTTATGGATTACATGTTTATTGGGTTTTTGTGGCCCATTTTCATGCCTATTGGGCCTAAAATACCCTTTTCATGTTATTGGGCCTTTGTGGTCTAATTACATGCTAATAGGGCTTGGAATGGAAACTTCACATGTTAGTATGCCGTAACTAATCCTTTGTGTAATCATTAAATGTCGTATACCTATATATGTACCTTTCGAATACAAAAACATACCACTTATACGTAAACATTAAACATAATACAAAAAGGGGTTGAGAATCTAGTGAGACATGTCGGTTAGCACCTCTGAGTGTACAATCGTAGCCTGTAGTTATAATCAGAGTTTCCTGGTAGGAAAGCGGGAGTTTGTGTATAGATCTATACGGGGTGACCCCCCACGCCTTAGCTGTTCGCTACAGCTAGACTAGGCCAGTCTAGGGCGACAACATCCTTAGCAAGACCGGCATTTGGAAAAATACCAAGACGGGCGACCTAGTCATTATCATGCATGGTTATAACGGCTCATATAGGGATTCAATACCAAAAGTAAACTTTCGAAGATAAACTCTTCGATTGTGTCAATGCAAAACGACTTATTTAACGATACAAGAATCTAGACATTGTTATAAAACATAAAATATCGGATTTTCTGGGGGAAATTATTCATATACATTTATTATTTATTCACAATACAATGAAACTAAACTACTCTTTTATAAACTATAACTATGAAATTCACACATGCATTTATACTTGATTTTCACAACATTTTCAGACATTTTACAGAAAATATCGGATTTTCTGGGTTTTTATGAAAGATACAAAGACTTTTACTCAAACATACTTATGAACTCACCAACATTATATATGTTGACCGTTTTCAAAATAACTTGTATTCTCAGGTAATCGTTAAGCTGGAAGATATGCAAGTGTGTAGGGTTTTGTTTTATGTAACAGCACTTATCGTACTTTTAACAATTTGAACTTATGTATTTTAACAAAGTACTTGATGTAAACAATGCTAGTTGTATTATGTAATGTTGGTGATGATCGTGTTATGATTCATGTATATTCATTGTGATGATTATTCAATGGTTAGTCACACGAGCCCCCGGACGTTTCCGCCGTCTGGTTCGGGGTGTGACAATATCCTAACATACAGTGGATACATACTGGAGTATACAATATAGTGAGATAAACTCACCTGGACAGTTACTCAAGGGATAAACAGTTAACCGGGCACTTCGACTAACGAGCAACACTCCAATAAGGATCTACCTATATTACTATACTTTATTACTTTATATCGGAATCTGTAATGTTTGCTAGACCTATCACTAATTCCAATGAATACCGGTAGCCCAATCAAATAAGGACCAACTAGGCCGGACAGTTGGGAAGCAGGACCATTTCGGCGTATAGCCTTTCTGAAAACCAACAACCAAGCCAACGTGACCATTCTAGACACCTCTCTTGTAAGTAGATCAATCAGTATTATGATAGGGATTACTGATAAATCTTATTTACACATTCATAATAACAAATATGAATAGAAATATAAGTTACACTTAAGAGCCTAGTAAGAGTAGCTTAAGTTACAAAGAGTTTCTAGCGAAAACTGGAATTTGCGCTGGCAAAACGTTGATACCGGGGGCTTTTACTGGCTAAGCCGAGATGCCCAGAGCCTCGCTAATGCTAAAATAGTTGGAAATCTCAAAGGAAATACTCAGAAATCGAATTTATAAGTTGAGAGAGAGATTAGGAGAAATGTATGGGAGAAATGAGGGCTGAAAGGCCTTTTATAGGCGGATTTTTGGGGTGCACGTCGTGAATTTTAAGGCAACGTCTCCCCAATTATTATTTTTGTACCACGTGTCAGCCTCCATGTGGTCCACGTTTTCACCTTCTAGAAGCGCGTCGCACACCTGGCACCGCGCTGTGCAAAACGCAAATTTTGTAAATTCCGCAACTTCTTCATACAAGCTCTGTTTTCGACGTTCTTTATATCCACAGAAAGCTATCGACGAGATCTACAACTTTCCTTTAGACTCCATCGGTTAATTCTAAATTTATTTTTCGTCCTTTTTTTATATGATTAAATGATTTTGTTAAAATCATAACACTCTCGTACGAACTCCATTTTTTGCATTCTTTTTACTCAAAATTCCTATCTTAAAGAGTACTATGATTTTCCTTTTGGTGACTTTAACTAAAAGTCAACAATTCTCTTCGTAGCATTTTACGTCACACATTCTTTGTGCGCAACTGACTTTTATATCTTATAAAAATCATATCTAATTCATATGGAGTCCAATTTCTACGAAATTTATATTTTCGGTATAAGGATGACGTGTACTTTCTAAATATATAATAATATATTTGTTTTGACACACTTATTTTTATGTTTTACGGACGATTCAACTGATTTTTTCTATTTTTTCTTATTACGAAACTTGTATCATATAGTGCGCACGACTATAGATTATCTTATTCAAGAATTCTAATTTTAATAATTACAATTTACAACTATGATAAAAAATGGGTGTTACAAGTTAAGGTTAACCGACCTTGAAGGAGAAAGAGAAAAAGGGGGAAATAGAGATATCACATGGAGAGATTTGAAGGATATGATCTTATAATAGTAAGTATATTTCCTTGATACAATGAACATGTAATGGGCATGTATCTACGTAATGAGTTGGACTATAACTAACGAATGGGCCTTACTCTAAATTATAATCCCCACTATAACTAAACTTACTTACTAAATCTCTATTTTAATAAATTAATAGTTTTAATCTTCTTTTGTCAAGTGTCATTCTAATACAACTCCTCATTAATACTAAGTCATGTGTTATGTTGATATATTAGGCAACTCATTTCAAAATTCAAATTTACATTTTCTAATTATATGTTAAATTTGAAGTTATAATAATTTAAATATTTGATATATCTCTTAATTAATAATTTATTTAAAATGATTTATTTAAAATAATTGATTAATAATTATAAATTTTTATTATGAAAGTTTAATTAATTTTATAAACCGTGGGAACCATAGATTATAAACTAGTTACTAATAGATCATTCATACAAATAGTAAGACGAAATTTTTTCGGACATTAGGTATTGTGGACGCATACAAATTAAAAATACCAATAGAAAGGTGGTTGGTTAGTGGCAAGGATGATGTGCAAAGATGGAATGATAGAATACATATGAATAACAATACCAAAGTCATCGATGTCATTGATAGAATAACGAATCAAATTGTAATTTTATAAAACTAAAAGAAGATTATAAATTTATATTATAGTAGAAATACCAACAAAAGTGTCGTAGATCACATGACATTGATAAAATAACGAATCAAGTTGTAATTTTATAAAACTAAAAGAAGATTATAAATTTGTAATTTAATAGAAAATACAAACAAAAGTGTTGTAGATTTCCTTGTATTGGATAATTTGTCATTTTATTATTGAGTACAATAATTTTAAATTATTATATAATAAAACAAGATCTAAACAAACGTAGTTACAACTTTAGTCCCTAAACTATACTTCATGATACATATTAAGTCGATAAAGATTTCTTTTACACCTTTTGTTCAAAATAATCGATTTAATCTTACTAGGGGTGCTAAACATAACAACTATGTCGTAATCCATGTACACAAGGCATAGACTTTTAAAGTCACTTTTGTCGATCTACATTAATTTTTTCAACTTCGGTCCATCTCGACTACGTTATTTTTTGTTAAATTTTATATGAAGGTTTAAAACATGCAATGTAAATCATCACTTTGGATCGATATTATATTCATATTATCAAATAAAAATTTGTATATAATTAACATAAATAAAGCACATCATAAATCAAAAGCTCGAATCCTAAACTAAATCTAAACAAACTACTTTCTCTTCTTCCGGCTAAAAATATTTTGTTTTCTTCGTTCATCTGTTTATAGAAAAACAAGTAATGTTAGTTAATGTTATAAATGTGTAACAAACTAACTTTTTTTCTTTATAATAAACCAATGATATCTTATGGGAAAATAACAAATTTTTTTAACCTGTTTATAGTATTTTTTGTATAAAGATAACTGTATTTATAAAAAAATTAATTCATTATTTACTAATGACATTAACATAAAATATCACATTAAGATGGATAGAAAATGAAAATGATATACGAGAACATTACCTCTTTAGTCTTTACCCTTAAATGTGATTATTTTAACGAACATATGCCAACACTTGTAGCCTTTTCGGACGCCAAATGAGACATAATAGGCAATTTTTAATACAAAATGGAAAAACAAATCTTTATGAACTAAACATGTAAGGTTGTACATAATTCAGGGTCATAATTTGAAGTTTACTCCACTATCAAGCTCCGACTGATACCACACCAATGGAGAATCAAACATACCTTTTCGATCCGACTGCAAATATGGGCGGTAAGTTCAATTCAATCTCCCACAGTAGTCTCCAGATGTCAATTTACAAAACTATAATGAATTATCCCAAATTTTCTTCATTGTTTGGATGAATTTGGCGATGTAGGGAGTGAAAAAGTAGTAGCAGGAGAATTTAGTTCGAGTTTATGGCTAGCACCAAATCCAAGCAAGAGATGGGGGGAACTGTTCTTCCTTCTTTACACACCCTTTTGGCTCACGCTTTGTCTCGGTATTGTCGTTCCTTACAAGCTCTACGAGGTAACCCTTTTTTAACTTCATGATTTTCGTATCTTCGTACTTGTGTTCATTAATCTAATCCGCTGTTATGAAGCTGGATCAGTACAAAATCTGAATTATTGTTTCAGATTTCGAATTGGTCTGTGATAGATTCATGGATTATAACATTATGCAAAATGTGAAGAACTTGAAAAATTGGAAACACGTATTCGCCGAAATGATTATAATCCGAAATTAAACTAGACTAGTTCATTAGATTTGAATCATGGGACATGGAAGTTGACTTCTAAGTCTTCTACAGTTCATAACTCAAATCTAGATGCCACTTTTCAACCAACATTTTTAGATTCGAATGATTCTTACAGAACTTTGTTGTGGTCATCAAATGTTCTTGAAAAGGTTAAAATCACTATTGATTTTGAGCGAATAAATATCTCATTCTACTTTGTATGATTCAATTAACAGGATTTCAAGGAGTTGGAGTATTTGCTTCTAGGGCTTATTTCTGTGCTTCCTGCTTTTCTTATACCAATATTTGTGGTTGGAAAGGTGGGTGCTTTTTTTTACTTAAGTCCTCATCAGTGTTTTTTCATATTGCTAAAAGGGTATATGAATATCTCAACAATGGAACTTATAATCATAAAAATGAAGAATCAGACATAATTATTATTTACAGTCATTTTACTTCATGGTTTTTTCCAGGCAGATCGTAGTCTCAACTGGAAAGATAGGTATTGGGTGAAGGCAAGTAATCATTTTTAATTATTATTATATATAATTTACACAAATTTTCCTACTTAACATATAATTTATAATATTGATTCAGGCAAGCTTATGGATAATTATCTTTAGCTATGTTGGGAATTACTTTTGGACCCATTATTTTTTCACAGTCCTTGGTGCCTCCTACACCTTTCCATCATGGAAGATGAACAATGTAAGCCATTATGCACAAATTTCAGGAAATAGCAGCATACTCTACTCATTTTACCAGAATAGGCAATGTACTTTATCTTTTACCCATAATAGCAACATACTTATAGTACATTGCCATTATCTGTTTAAAAAATGTAAGTACATTGCTATTCTTTGCTATTTGCCTTTTTCTGTTTGCTATATGATTATAAAGAAAAAGAAAAATGATTATTAAATATTTTTTTACAGGTACCCCACACGACCTTTCTCTTAACAAATGTTTGTTTTTTGTTTTACCACGTGACATCAAATTTAACACTCCGTAGACTACAACATGCTATTGCTCACTTGCCAATGAAAACACAGTGGATTATTAAATCTGCATGGATTCTAGCTCTTTCTTACTTTATTGCATACCTAGAGACTGTGGCTATTTCAAATGTAAGTAAAAATTTATATAAATTTATCATATATATTTTTTATATTTATTGATATAATGATCATATTGTGCAGTTCCCTTACTATACATTTGTGGACCGAACATTAATGTACAAAGTTGGTTCCTTGTTTTATGCGATCTACTTTCTCGTAAGCTTTCCAATGTTTCTAAGGTAAGAACTTGATATTGAATTTGAGGAACGCAGTGGTGAATCTCAGTGGATTATGGTAGCAAGGCCACTCTGTCACTTACAAAGTTTGATTGTGGTATTGATGTTTATAGGATTGATGAGAAAGTGGGAGATCCATGGGACCTACCACGGGTGGCTGTTGATGCGTTAGGGGCGGCTATGCTTGTTACAATAATACTTGACTTGTGGCGACTTTTTTTGGGGCCGATTGTTCCTATTTTGGACACCAAACAATGTGCTCAGCCTGGCTTGCCTTGGTTCCCTGGACACACTGAACTCTAATTTGATTTTTTTTTTGGTAATTTAGATGCTTTGTAATGTGGTTGGGAACAATGTTAACTGTTGTTTTGAAGTTGTCATTGTTAGAAATTTGGGGCTGAAATCCGGGGTTCGGTAATCGAATATGGATATTTCATGGATTGTGTATGGTCACTTTCCGTTTTGATATTTCTCCCTTATAATGGGATAATCCGTGAGGAACATTCAAAGTTCAAGGCAACTGATATGGATTTTTAGATTTCGACAGAGAGTTCTAAATAGGTGAATGAGTGCATATACTTGTTGTGTATCCGAAAATTGGATAAGGTTGAGGAAAATTGTGGAATCTATAGTTGAGAAATGGTTTTCAACCACCACAAATAGCGTTGGGTTACCATGACAAGGCAGCTGATCTCTGATCCTTGGACCCTAGGGGCACACCCTCTTAACGCTACCTTTCGTCGTGTCCGAAATAAAACTCGTCTTATATACAAGTGTGTACTTTGCACTTTCTAACTTGTTTTAGATCATAGTTTAAATCCTCACATGACACTCTGCACTCGTGTTAATTTTAATCATAAAAAAAATGGTTAGTTACACTAAAATTACTAGTCATTCATTAGAAATTTAGGTTTTGGGGTCTAAATTGACCAAATGTTTGTCGTTTTCTTTGTTTCTTTCGGGAACCGGGTCGTTACTAGAATTGTCAGATTTTATTTTACATTTTGAGCATCATAAAACTGGAAACTCTTAGGATGAGAAGATTTGAATTGGATTTCCGGAACCTTTTGAGAAAACTGCATAAATAGTTTATTACCCGGAGGAGAATTCTTGGTTCAGTTCTCCACCTTAACGACAGAAAAAAAAGATTGATCAAATTTTATTGAGTCTGACTCATAGTGATCATTTCTCAAAGAATGACTCTGGTTATCAAATGATTGAACAACCGGGAGCCCAGGAACAGGGAAGAGCAGTGGCGGAGACAGTGAGGGGACTGTCGGATGCTCTGCCCCCTCCAATCTTTTATAAAATGAATCCAACAATTAAATATTTAGCCCACATTGTTTATTATTGATATGCAGCCCCCTCTAGTTTCTTTAAAAAACAATTATTATAATGAAAAAACAGTAAGGGTAATAGGGTATAAGAGTTGTAACCAAAGTTGAGACCACATCATCACACCGCCTCCATCCAATTTATTTTTATTTAAATTGACGATGGCAAACAGGCCCGGCTCTAAGGAGGGGCAAGGTGTGCAGTCGCACAGGGCCCGGAAAAAAAATAGGGCCCGAGTTTTGCAAAATTATTAGATTAAGATATTAATATATTTAATGTTTTCAAAATTTTAACACAAATATGCGTCAGTTTAGCTGGTTAAAGAGGTGTGTATTTAAATATAATAAGCACCCTGTTTCGAATCCTTCCAACATCAGTTTTATTCTTTTTTTTTAACGCTGGCTTATTCAATTATTTTTTACTTTATTGCCTTTGGCAGGATGTATATATGTTAAATATTCAAAGTTACAATTTCTACCATTAAGTTATTATCTATACTTAACAATTTCTCCTGCTTAGGGGTGTTGATCGGGTAATTTTTTCGGGTTTCGGGTAATTCGGGTTTTTCATGTTAAAAAAATTACCCGTTATCCGACCCAAATTAAATTCAGGTAATTCGGGTTTGGGTAATTCGGGTAGCGGGTCGGGTTTGGGTAATTCGGGTATTACCCGAAATATATAATTTTTTTTTGAATTGCACCTGAAAATAAATTTAATGAAATAAATACGTCGTGTTTTATTAGTCATGTTTGTATAAACAAACGAGGCATAAATGAAGTTACTCAAGCTTTGAACATTGAGATTTTTTGGTCAATAATACTTTGAGATATCAAACAATTTTTTAACAACTTAATCTAATCTAATAAGATGTTAAAGAAACAAATACTTAAAGATCTTAATTTAAAAGTTTAAAATGTTTAAGATAATTGTAGCAATAAGTTTTGCCATGTTCTGAAGTTTCGTTAAGATAATAAGTTTGTTAGTTGCAATAAAAGCTATAATCTAGAAAACAATTAAGTTTTAAAGAACATGGTGATATATAAACAATTGCTTTTAAATTGTTAGTATCATTTTGTCATAATAAAAAAGATTCATGTTTTACAATAATGATAGTTAGTTTAAGCGTGATCAAATACCTGCTACAGAGTACAAACTCTATGAAAAAAAAAAAGAATTTTTAAAATAATTTGGGTAATTCGGGTATACCCGAAACCCAACAAACGTACCATTTACCCAACCCGAAAAAAATCGGGTTACCCAATTACCCGAAAAAATTTACCCGATACCCGATTTACCCGATACCCGAAAAAATCGGGTGGGTAATTCGAGTATCGGGTATTTTCGACAGCGCTACTCCTGCTTATCAATTCTCTTTACTAAACCAATTTCCAAAAATTCTACATTTAGCCCCTTAACTTTTATAAATTTATATTTGTCATTTTGTTTATTAATTTAATTTAATTTTTTAGTTTTTTCTTTATGACAATTCAGCCTTTAATTTAAATTTCTTATATATATATATATATATATATATATATATATATATATATATATATATATATATATATATTATTTAGACCCGATTTTCATTTTTGGTTGTCGTTTAGATGTTACGATATGTTATTACTCGTTAAAATACTATAATTTTTCTATGTTTATTGCTATAAAGTTTATCGTCGTTTTAATAAAACTTCAGTTTATATAATTAATTCATTACATGTTAGGGGATAAGGACATTTTTTTTCCGGCTCGTCCTGGGCATTTGAATCCTCAGGACCGGCCCTGATGGCAAAGATAGTTCATTACAGTTTTTATTAGTCGACGACTATATTGGTAAACCCTTACAATTTTTATTATCTAATCAATAAGCAGGTGAATTTTAATTTTGTATTACATATTTTATTTTCTACAACTTGTAATTAAAAGTTAATTATGAATGATAATTTAGTTTATTATAATCATAGCATAAAAATCATCGATTTTTTTTTTCAAAAATAAAAGAAGTGTGTGACCTATTGCACCCGGTTGGTGATAAAACTAAAGACGGTGTTCATAATATGTACACACATGCCAAAAAGAATGATAATATCGAAGAGCCGATCAATATGAAACCTAAAAAGAATGTTGTGCCAAATTTTAGACAAGTAACATTAGCTTCTTTGATTCGTGATCCCCGATCGACGTGATCCCTGATCGACAGAGAACGACTTTTAGTTTTAAGATATTCAAATCACCAATGTGATGATGATATTAGAAGATTATATATTAAACTTGGACCATACCAACTTCAAAAATCGAAGTATCGCTCCACTCTTAGTGATCCAAACGGTCATTGTGTGATTTTCTACAAACTTGTATTAAAAACTTTCGATAGATGAAAGCCCCCCTTATACTAAAATCCTGGCTCCGCCCCTGTGGAAGAGGTCAAAAGTAAGATACTATTTAGAATACCATTATAAATTTTTTTTTTTTATCTCTATAGTCGTATATTTGGGCAGTGTCTTTTTTAGAATGTCTTTTGGAGCTCTAATGGAGACGAGAGACATCATTGGGTGTCATGGGAGACCATTTGTTGTCCTAAGGAGGAAGGGGGTGTTCTAATTCTAGACGGCAAAACCATTCCTAGCAACCATTGCTTTCGAAAGAGCAACCATTTCAGGGAACATCTAGGATTTTCCTCTGAAAAGTAAATGTGTTGTTAGATTGTTGCATCGGGAAATAATGTTGTGAATAGTTTTGGTTTTGTTGGTAGTTTGGTTATTGTTGATAGTTTGGGTTTTGAAATCCTAGAGAAGAAGATGAAATATCTTGATTTGAACCGTCTTGTTTGGATTTGCATGTTTGGTTAGAACTGGCTTGTTTAGTTTTGCCTTGAGAATCCATTGAAGGTAACCGAAGGAATTAAGTGAAGTAGAAAGTTTCTCAGAGAAAATTATATAGAATTGAGTGAAGTGTGGAGTGGAATATCTTCATAAATGTATACAAAATGGCAGATGGAAAATTATTTTGACAAAGATTCTCGAAACGCCACATACGCATTGAACACAAAGTCACGGGTCTACCAAACCGCTGCAGTCAAATAAACTCTTGAGCCTGTTGGAACCGCCGTTCACGAAATCACAGCCTGACGGTACCTCCCTAACCCGCCATTAACTCGCTACACGACTTCGTTCTCCCTAATGAAAGTTGAAGAACATCACAAAATTTGAAAGTGACTAGATCCTAACCGAAGGAATTAGCAACAACAGAGACCACATTTGCAATTCTCTCTATATTTATTTTTTCAGATTTTGAATCAAGTAAAGCATTTTTTTAAATATATATTGCAAAGTTGATAATAAAATCCATGGGAAAAGCATATTAGAAAGTTGCTAATAACCTAAACTACAATGTTCCCTACATACGCACGTCATCAAATCTTTTCATTCTTGCCAAACAGCTTCATGAAAGCATCTTTCATCCATTAACTGTAGATCCGGAAAAAAAACATCCACCCATTGATAATATGATCTCATCGTTCATAATCGCTTTAAACTTATGTGAGCGAGTCAATAATGACATTAATGATCATGGAACGTTTCTTATTAAGTTCCTCTTGTTCAATACATTTATTTTGTTCAATATTTTCTCTAGATCGTCTCAATCCCCCTTAGACCTTAGTATACCAGAAATATATATATATATATATAAAATTGTCATTGATATAAATCACAACACTAGTTACAAAATCGTCTTGGATACATTATTAGTAAAAATGATCAACAAAAACCTATATATATTGATTAAAAAAATAATATGAAAAAAAAAAAAAAAAGCTAAAACAGTGAGAGAAATGCCTCAAAAACCTTGCCTTGTGTCAAAAACTCAAAAATCTAAAACCTTATTTCACCTTGTCTATCTTGAGGAGCAACCAACTGCCACAAAGAGCCATATGCCGGAATTTTGGCTGCTTCCACTCCAAGACCCGCAAGGTTACGCCCATATTCCTGTACATTAACACTATCGTCATTTTTGGTCCCTCAGTATAGTTGATTTTTTTTTTTATCAATTTAGGTCCTTATTTGAGGTTTATGTAACATTTTTAGTCCCTGTAGATATTTTTGGGTTGGGATGAAAATACCTGAATGTCGAGAAACAACTGCATGCAAATTCTATCGGTTTCAGAAACATTATGATCTGATACATCTGAGGTGGCGCCAGCTCGTCTCTGGGCACCTTTACGTATTCTCTGAAGTGAAGTCTCTGTTTTTCTTGCTGTGTTGACAATATCAGCAGCCAGATCATTATAACGCCCAGTAATCTTCACTGCAGCACCTTCTATCAGTTTACCTCTTCTATCCTCTGTTAAATATGTCATAGCTCTTTCACCCTCCACAAAAACCTGTCCACTTTCTTATTAATAAATATTGTAATAAGAAGACATGGAAATAGGATGCTAAGAAAACAATAGATACCTTCAAGGGACGCAACACCCCTGAGACATAATGGGAATGTCTCACGGGAGGTGGTTTTTTAGTCATTCTGTAAGCAGCAACTATCCCGTGTAGTTGTTTCAGTTCCTGTGATTATGTATCAAAGAATGTTTTTTTATTAGCAATGGATGATGTTGCAAAAAAAGTTTTTTTAAAAAAATTATGTACCTCGTTTGACTTTTCAACTAATGTTTCAATGATTGACTCAATGACAGAAGGGACAAGATCTTTAAGAGATTGTCCCCCTTGTAAGATGCTGTTTTTAACAGTGTCAACAACTTGGGTAGAGCAGGAGTTTAGAATCTTTAACACGTGTTCAATGTACTTCCCACAAACCTCTGTGGCTAGATGATCTAAATCATGAATTATCTGCAAAACAATAAGTCCTTACCTGAATAAAGTTTAATTTTATTAAAATAATATTATTTTTTTCTCTATCTGCCAATTTAACTTCATTTGCTTTTCTAAATTTACATAACAAACAACACGTTTGAATGTCTCATTCCATTTTATCAATCAAGCCAAACATGATAATGTGATGTAACAACCGATTCCATTCCTTTGTGATTCCATTCCATCATATCAAACAGAACCTAAAACTTATGTTTTTTTTTTAAATGAAGAAGAAAGGGAAACATACATAAACAAAATCATCTGGGGCAGCAGCAAGTGCCCATTCAAAGCCTGAGCTACGGGTTCTACGAGCAGAGAGTCCAGCTGACAACCAATTTGCATATCTGTACATCAAATTTTTGCCATGTCAGCAATTATTATTAATTAAAAAGAAAAATTATAAATGGGTTGAAATTTGATTGGAAAATCAACCTAGATATCAGTTGCAGAGTTAAGCGAAGAAATTTATCAGAGATAGAAAGGACAAGAACGTCTTCTCGCCAACAGGAATTGAGGCATTCCAAAAGAGTAAGACTTTGCTTTAAAGTCACATGCTGAGAACTTCCCTGGTCGGAATCGGAATCGGAATCTGACTTCGGAATTGGAGTTAGACTTGAACCGACAAATGCAGAATCTAATGAACCTGCGATTTCCTGAAACCTACAAGTAAGATGCATGTGAATTAGAATGGATTTGGATGGAATTGAATCACAAAAGAATGGAATGGAATGAGTTATTACATTCCATGATCATGTTTAGTTGCCTTGTAGGAATGGAACGGAATGAAATTTTATATTATATGTAAATCCAATACATTTAACTCTACTCAATAGAATATTTTAATTATATTAATTACTTTCCAATTTAGGGAATTGGAAGTACCTCAATGAGAAATACACCCCAATGTTCCATTGTTTAATGAAATCTACATATACAGCTTCAGCTCTAAAGTTGGCAACAGCAGATCTTGAAGGACAGTATCCTTAAATAACAATGCAAAGTTAAATCCCAAACAACAAGCAACTCAAATACAAATCCAGATACATGAAATAATAATTTATTCTATTACCTTCTAAATCAGCCAAAAAACCAAGACTTGATTTGTAATTTTTCAAGAACTCTGTAGGTCTTCCAGGAGAAAAAGCCCCTGGCTTTCCCTGCTGAATTGCCCAAAGAACCTCCTTAAGAATTGAATTCGCAAGAAAACTAAATACATGCAAACCCGAATTTTCTGCAATAGTAAGGCACAATTATATAGTAAAGATCTCCAACAAAAAGCTCTTTATATTGTTAATGGTATAGGAATAAAGAATGAGCATATACCTGTAGAAGAAATCTCCAACAAAAATGTACAATCTTGAGCAATGAGATTCTTGATTTGTTTATAGTCTTCTTCAAGCTCATCACCAGTGGACCCACCAGCCATTCCAGATGAAGTGTAGGGAATCACTTTCTGAACTAATGGTGCCACCACTGTTGATCTGAATATCTCTTCTGCATTATGTGTATTGTCCACAGAAGCATAAGCACGTAAGCAATTGTATACTGCATTTTCATCTTTGTGTATCAATCCATCTACAAAACAGTGTCCCAAACTTGTCTCCAGCAATAAGCTGGCATTTTGTATCCTCTTTTCCATGTTCTCAATAAAAGGCAGGTTCTGTACTGCCATTAAGACAGAAAGAATGTGTGTAAGTTTCTAAGACAGAATTGATCAGGAAAGAGGTGTAAATTTGTGTGTATATAACAGGGATGTAGTGGAAAGACCTTGGCATGAGCAAAGTAGAACTTTAGCCTGTTCATTTCACTAGCAATTCTTTCCAAAAGCATGCTTTGAGTTTCCCTGAGATTGATTCCAATTTCAGCATGCTGTAGAGAGACACCGTTGCTTAAATGACCCTTTTCTGCAGTGTGTAGATCTCCATTTGATGCATCAGCAGGTACATTATGTAGCTCCTTTATTAGTTTCTCGACCTGCAATCGCAACAACAAAACTTCGTAAATCCCTAAATTAAGATGCAGCTTCTAAAAGTGTAGCTTGGGGATCCAGATGTTTTACTCGATGTAAACCATGGAAGAGCAGTTAAACACTATTACTCCAAGATCAACTAAATCCGCATGAAATAGACTAATGATTCGAAATTTGTGAAGTTGATTAAGCTCCAAGAGGTTCACATTACCTTGGAGACGACATGAGAAGTATCAATCAAAAGTTCCAAGATCTCTCTAGCAGCAGACGCCTCCGCTCTTTGTCTAAGCCCACCCTGTAATGATACAAGCGACCCTTCAACCGCCCCTCGGAACCCCAATATTTTCTCACGGATCTCAATGAGTGGTGCCCTCATACGCAAAACAGCGGCATCGACATCTACAAGTTTGGTGCTGAGATTCACGAAGTCAGCATAATCTCGGTTAATTAGCTCTACTAGTTCATGTTTAAGGGATGAAAGATGAGACTGCAGCTCCGATCTTAGGGTTTCAAAGGGGACAAAGGTTCGTAGATCGGAGATGTAGGATTCCGAGTCGAAATCAGGGCTGAGGAATGAGGATTGTTTAAACCATAAGGGATGGGAGTCGATTGGATCACCGAAAAGGTCAGCGGTGGCGGTACGCGGCTGAGTAGATAGTTGATGTGACGATACCGGTGGCTGTTCTTGCTGGATCCTCATCGGAGAAGGAGAGATTTAGCTGTCTGTACCCTTTGTGCAGATTGTGAAGTAAAACCGCAAAGGGGAGAAGAAACAGATCCAATGGGTGAGCCTTACTCCTCCCTTACAAAACATGTAACAAAATAACCATATGATTTTCATCTATATATTAATGGCCATTGTAAAGCAAAAGGTTTGTGAAGTATTACTTAGGAAACGACTAAAAGAATAATATATTTTTTTCATTTTGTATATATTTAGGTAATGCGTCTAACACCTTAGACATTTTTTTGTTGGTTCATCTATCTCCTATATCGGTAACTTAATTCACGAATCGGTCAAATAATGTTGGTGTCTTTCTTTTCTCATAAAAGAATATGTTTTCGGCTTCAGTTTCATCTATCATCATGTCATACAACGCGATTCTTTATGACTACTTTCTCTGAACTCAGTTTTGTACTTTCAAGATAAAATAACACCCTAAAAATAGTTTAAAGTTTTTCCTAATTTCTTGGTACGTCGATTTTGACTATTTTTCAACAAATGGGTTTTTTGTATTTTTCAAATTGACCTCGACTTTTTAAAAATGGGTTACAGTTGTTAAAGAGGAGGTTTCATGTTTCAGTCACCTTAAATTGCAAAATACTAAAATCCTATAATGATTAGGGTTTGTCGCAAGGACTAAGGATAGGGGTGAGCAGCGGAACAAGGTACCCGCTTTTGGAACTGGAACCGCCTCAGAATTGTCGGTTCCGGAACCGGAACTGCCTTAGGCGGTTCCGGTTCCGGTTCCTAATGTTTTGGAACCGCCTTAAGTGGTTCCGGTTCTCATTTTTTCGGAACCGTTACCCGTTGGGTACCCTCCGGAACCGGTTTGTTTATATATACATGTTATATATATATATATATATATATATATAATATATATATATATATATATAAACAAACCGGTTCCGAAGGGTACCCAGAGGGGTAACGGTTCCGGTTCTCATTTTTTCGGAACAGTTACCCGCTGGGTACCCTCCGGAACCGGTTTGTTTATATATATATATATATATATATATATATATATATATATATATATATATATATATATATATATTATATATATATATATATATATATATATGGAGAGGATCAAATGAGAACACCTAAAAGGTTGAGAACGTGAGAACAGTTCTGGACCAATCATTACAAAAGAGTATATTAGTAACTTTATATTTACATTAACTTGTAACATATAAATATTAATTAATGATTTCCTAAAATCTAGAGATAATGATTTTAATTACCTAAAAAAATTAATGGTTCTTTTTAATTTTGGGAATATATATAAATATTTTTTTATGACTTTTTCCAAAAATAATTTATGACTGTTTATTTTTTTTTAAAAGGTAATCAATACAACTCAAATCATAAATGAATCCACTTTTATTTAATTTGATTTTTTTTTCAAAAACTAATACAGCTTTATCCCATTTTAATACACTTCTATTCACAATCACAAATGAATATACACTTTTTATTCATCAAATTGAAATTACGTTAAAAACAAATGAATACATGTAATCACAAATAAATATATTCTTATTCACAAATGAATATAGCTAAATATAATATAATTTACATCTAAAAAATGATAGAACATAATGTATGTTTCATTAACGATTAATTTATTCACAAATAAATACATGTAATCGGAAATGAATCTAATCTTTTTCACAAATGAATATAACTAAATAGAATATAATTTACATCTAAAAATGCTACAACATAATATATATTTTCATTCTCATGTAGCTCAAATTCATCACTTTCCATTTTCTCAAACAATTCTAAAGGAACCCAGAAAACACATGTTAAAGTACCTATATATCATTAAGTTCCAGACACCAATATCTCTCTCGTGCATTTCATCAAACAACATACGTGCATTATATTTTCCTTTGAATCGGATTACAGCTTTGTGTAGTTATCCTTTCCATTGATTATAAGAGCCGATAGGAGATGAATTAGAACCAAGAAATCAAGAGTTGGTGTGTAAATGAAAAACAGGGGTCTGTCGCTTCACCGAAATAAACAATTGGTGTGTAAATGAGAAATAGGAGTCTTCCCCTTCACCTAGAAAAATGATGAACAAGGTAACTTAAAAACAAAATTGGCAAACATAGGAGAACTTACTTTGGCCTGAGTGATAATCCTCAAAAGAAATCAGATTGCTGGTGTGGTTATAATGAGGAGCCCCTCTTGATTTGTGTATGCGTGTGTATATACTATGCTAAACACCAGACCATCATCACCATTGATGGGTTTTCTTTATCAATCCTTTGTCTTCACTATCACAGACCCGCTAAACCAGACCCTTCCAACATCATAAACACGAATGAGAATGAGACAAAATTTTAATCGAGGTAAAAGGGTGCGACTGCAATGACGATTTTTTTTTCAATTCCTTCACGGTCTCTTTATCTTTCTCTGAATCCTCTTGCAAGCGATGGCTTTTAGACATGGGGGAGGCTCGATTATTGTTGCAACACTAGATGATGATGGTGAGCAATGGTGCAATATAGCGGCGATGATGATGAATGTGTACCCTAGGTATACAAAGAGAAAGATGAAGAGAGATACGGTAAAATAAAAAGGAAAGAGGTGAGAGAGAGTGAAAAATAAAGGAATTAAATAAAGTTGCAATTCCTGTTCTACCCTTTCCACTATTTAAAAGTTACACTTTAATCCCTTTAGTTTTAGAATTTATATATATAACCCGTTTGATAAAAGCCTTAGATCTATGTATTTAGATGGTTCAGATCTGTTCTCGCGTTCTCAACCTTTTAGGTGTTTTCATTTGATCCTACTCATATATATATATATATATATATATATATATATATATATATATATATATATATTCCTTCTTACACTCATCAATCACCGTTTATTTCTTTTCTTTCTTAAACTCAAATCAACTCTACTATCTTCCTCTTTATTGAATTGGTCTGAGTACGAAAACTCTACAAACATAACAATGAAAATGAAGATCAAATAAAACGAAAGCATTAATTAAAGCTATCGTGTTTACTGGAAGCATTAAAAATGAATAATGAATAATGAAGATTATTATTCTGTTAAGGGTTGATTTAATGCTTGGAGTTTTTTAATCCATAGATTTTTTTAGGATATACTAATTTAAAAATAATAGTTATTAATATTGACGGCTGAAGACTCGTTCCAATAAAAATATCAATTCGGTGATTCATTGATTTATCCCACATCGTTTGGTGTAATAAAGATTGAATGGTTGGTTAGCTTATAAAAATGAATGCTTCTAATTTCATCACAACTCAAACATGAAGGTTTTGAATTGAAAATTTAAATGCGTTGGAGTATTTATACATGTTGTCTAACACCAATAAGTTTCAATGTTTTTAAAACAATGATTGTGAGGTCTCTATATACATAATTGTTAAGAATTCTATATGATTTTTGGTTTAAAATAGTTTGAAAGTTTATAGCAAGCGGGTATCCGGAACCGGTTCTGACGGTTTCGGGAGCGGTTTCAAAAATTTAGGAACCGATGTAACCGGTTCCGGTTCCAATATTTTAGGAACCGCCGGTTCCGGTTCCGGTTCCACTAAAATTGGCCGGGTACCCGCTTATGCTCACCCCTAACTAAGGAGACGTGTTGCGAACTTCTTTTAATTTACTAGTTTATACCCGTGATAATCACGGTTATAAAATTAATTAAACTTTCATATTAAAAAATCAATATTATTAATCAGTTATTTTAAATAAATTATTACTTAAGACATATTTTTTAGGTATATAAAATTATAATCGTTGATTTAAATAAATACGTGAAATTATTCACCTTACAATTTGTATTAATTTAATTTAAATTTTTAGACTAATTTTGTTAATTTAATATAATTAGAGTGAAAATTTTAAAATTTGAAATTTAAAATGGAGAATCAATTAATAATTTAATGTAATTAGAATGAAAATTTTGAAATTTGAATTTTGAAATTGATAATTAATAGGTTGACAAGTTGAATGATATGTAACATACAATATTAATAAGGAGTTCTAATAGCATGACACTTGACAATAGGTGAATAAACTTATTCATTTATTAGAATAGAGATTATTCACTAATAATTTAATAAACTGGATCCCCAGTAAGAGTATAATTACTTAAATTTTTCATTGTGTGTAACCCAAAATGACTTTGTTATTAATAGTAATATTAACTATTGTGAATATGAACATTATTTCCAACAACTGAAATCATTATGGTTAATTTATTTTATTCACTTAATGTAATGTAGTTGTGTTGCTATTGAATGAAGTTGGTATTGGTATTAAATATGGTTGGTATTGTGGTATAATAGTTACGAATATCAAAAGTACAATGTTATTATCTAAACGACGACGACACATGATTTAATCATGTGAGAAAATCTCATTAATGATTGTCTCACGTAAGATGTCGCATGAGACAAACCTGAAGAAACTCATCATAAGGATTGAATGTGTACAAAAACAACAATGATTTATTTTGTAAAAAAAACAATAAATAAATAAATAATAAGGACTAAATGTGTTCAAACTAAGAACTCAACATGGATTAGTCTGTCATAAGGGTTGAATGTGTACAAAAACAATAAGTTAAAGTGTTTATTTTAAAAAAAAAAAAAAAAACAAAAAAACAAAACAAACAAACAAAAAGGATTAAACATGTAGAAATGAGAAGTGCATTACCCTTTTAGATCGTTTTCGGTATTACTTATGTTTCCAAGTGATATTTTATGAGAATTTTGATTGAATTTTTTTTGTTTAATTGTTTAATGTAAATTAGATTTTACTAACAAGTGTTCACTTTTTTTTTACATTAGCGAAATTATAGTAATTTGATTACATAAAGAGCAATTATATCGTTGGAAATAAAAACATTTAAAACTTCTTTGAAGTTGAAGGTCGTTGTATGGAGTTATCAAGTTTTGGAACAAACTTCAATTATTATTTGTATTATTTGTTGATGTATTTTGAACATTGTAAATTGTTTCTCACGGCTCTCACTAAATTGGATTGTTGTGACATAATCATTATAAGAATTTTGTAAAACATGAATTTTTTACTTTGCATTTTTTTTTTCGAAGTT